ACGTTTAATACATATACACACATACAACTACACATACGTGAACATTCATAATAATAATAATATAATTATAGTAAACCTAATATTAATAAAAACATATAATTATATACTAAAAAAATTAATTATTTAAAATCTAATAAAAAATAATAACAATATTAATCAAAATAATAGTAATAATAGTTATCATATTTACATTAATAATATTATAAAGTAGTTATATTTATATTTATATTAATAATAATATGAAATAATAATAATAATAATAATAATAAAGGGGGAAGGCAAAACAAAAAGAGGAAAGAGCAAAAAGAAAAGGTGGGAAACAATTTCTAGATTCCCGCTATTACAATTCCTATGAAATTTCAACGGAATTGTAATTTTAAATATTAATTTATATTTCGTTGGTGTTTTGTAGGAAACTTCCAACGCTTTTCCGATCGAATCTTTAAGGTATCTACTTCTGTAGGAAATTTGTAAGAATTTTGTTGGATTATACTTTTGTTGTAAGTTTGCAGGAAATTCGACGGGTATTTCCTACAAAACATTTTTGTAGGAAATATTTTGTAGCTAAAACCAAATATTCTATTCATGTTTTCATCGTATTCATTTCCAAAGTTATTTTAAAAAATGCCATTATTTAAAACATTTTAACAGTTTTTTTTTAGTATAGATTGAATTACTTGCTTATTCATTATTTCATTTGTATTTATTTCAAAATTTTATTTACAAAATACTTAATGTTTACGTCTTATATTTAACTTTTTTTAATTAACACGTGTAGGACACGGATCTTACACATAGCTACATATAAATTAATTTTCCGTGCACCACGATATGATGTACATCAGCTACCTGGCTATATGACATTGTAGAATGAAAAAACACGATTGTAGCAATGGAATGGAAATTAATAAATTAAATACTATAATCGTATATTAGAAAATAGTTAACTCTAGCTATTTATCGGACAAAACAAATGGTTTCTAACATTAATTATCTTTTTTCTCGGATTTCATGGTCAGGGCCGGCTCAGAGATTTTAAGGGCCCTGTACTAAGAAGAAAAATGAGGCCCTAAATATAATTTTTTAATATATAAGATAAACAAACTTAAGACGGTGAATTGTCGTTACGGAAAACTTAAAAGTAAACAAATTAATTAAAAAGGAACATATGGAATTTTATAAAAAGTTCAAGGGTTAATTGTGTAACTTTTGAAAACTTATTCGTTAAAGGAAAGGTTGATTATGAATTATATAGTATAAAATAAGGGCCAAAATTGTAAATTGAATTAAAAACGTGTGGACATGAATCAAACCGAAAAGAAGAGGATGCGGATGTGCTTATGCCAATTGAGGTACACAGGATTTATGCAAAAACTTGAATAAACTAATATATATTTAATTATTAAATATATAATTTAATTAAAACTAAGGCACTATTTTTTTCGGGCCCTGTACGGCTGCCCCTCGCCCCCTTAAAACCGGCCTGTTCATGGTACCAAGCATTAACTAGTAACCATATTTTATTTTTTATATTGTTAATTAATAAAGTTTCTTAAACCTTAAGTTTTAAATTATGAAATCAATTGATTAAGAATAAATTTCTTTTTCCCATTAGTATAATAACGTATTATTAGTATGATATAATGCAACGCAAGTTTTGCATGCGACTGCGCGTGTCTTCAAGTTTTAATTACTGACTTCAAGTACTTAACGTAGATGTTCGTTAAATTGGTCAAGTAATTAATTCACAAAATACGTTTCTTAAGGAATAATTAACTTCTATATGCATGCTTCCTTAAATAGGGTTTATAGACACTAATTTTATTCTTAAACTAATAGGTTCGTCATCGAACAAAAACTAACTTCCATTTGCAGTTTCCATGCATAATTAATGAACCTTTCCAAATAGTACTAAAGAATTGAACTCACATCGTTACTCCACCACATGCCCTTCTCCTGGATCCTCGCCGGTCAACCCCCACCGTTTCCGGCCACCCTATATAACCTCCAAAACCTTACAACGACCCACCTCACCTCACCTCCCTGATCAATCTCTTAACAACAAAACACCTTCAATTCAAACAGTACTCCAATCTGATCAATCTTTCTCTTCCTTGTATATCTTCGTTTCAACATTCAACAATGAAGATTATGAAGGTAATGTTCTTCATCATAGCCATAGCCATGGCCGCCGCCATCACCATCACCTTCACGGGTGATAACAATGAAGAAACATTAATGGTGACTACAGAGACACCGTATGTGAAACCACTTCCGAAAAGGGTAAGTCGTTTTCTAGCTGAGAAGATCAATACTCCTCGAGCTGCAGACCACTGCAAGAAAGACGATGAGATTTGTTACATCTTAGAAGGTAAAAACTCGACTTGTTGCAGCAACAAGTGTATGGATTTGAGCGAGGATAAGCACAACTGTGGAGCATGCAAGAACAAGTGCAAGTTTACGAGCTCCTGTTGCGGAGGGGAGTGTGTGAATTTGGCTTATGACAAGCGGCATTGTGGGTCGTGTGGCAACAAGTGTATGCCTGGTGGTTATTGCATTTACGGGCTTTGCAATTACGCCTAATCATCAAAATGCATTATTAATTAATCTTAATTGTATGTAACTCATCATGTGTTTGAGAGGTTCTTCAGTGCTCGATCGATGATATATACGTACGTACTTGCATGAATTAATTGTTCATAGGCATGTATGCTGCCTGATTACACAAGTATTGTACGTAGTAACATATATGTACATATAAGCTAATTAACTTCTCAACGTGACCAAATATTTGACTCCATCAATAAATGATATGTGTCAAGTAATAATATTATGTAATTACCGATCCAGTATATTTGGGAAAATGAATAGTTTCCAAACCGTTCAAAAAAAACTCAATTATGTTTTGTATGTTCAAGAAAACCCAGCAAACTTAACCTTTTGTCTAAAAAAGCTCAACTAAGTTACACTTTTGTTCAATTTTCATTAGGGTCAACCGACTAATGAAAGTCAATGAGTGACATTGCTTATGACCAAAAATTAAATATCATGGAAATGACTTATAAGACCAACAAAGTTTTGAAATCGTTCAAAAGACTTCAATCATGTTTTATCTGTTCAAAAAATCAATTCTAATTAGAGGCAGTCAGATTCATTAGGTGTATAATCAATTGGCAAATGACATGACATTATATTTAATGACAATGAATAAACATATTAGAATTGTCATTTTATATATCGATTTAGGGCTTGAAAAAGAGAAACGAACGGTGTTTGTGTCCGATCTCTTGTAATGGCTACTTCTTCTTCTTCTCCTCTTAATTGTTGATGTCCAACTTAAGATCTACAAAAAAATATATATATATTTGATGATGCAAACCCTAGCTTTTGGATGTAGACGCCCTTCTCAAATTGGACATCTAGAACGGATGATTATCTAGAGAAAAAGTCAAGGGCTTGTTCAAACAGATGGGTAAGTGTAATTGAAACCTTTATCATGTTCATCTTAATAAGTTCTTGTTTTTGAAGTAACCAAACAAATAAAGCTTTTAATTACACTTACCCGTCTGTTCAAACAAGCCCTGAAAATTTTCTCTGGATGATCCTCCGTTCTAGATATCCAAATCCGAGAAGGGCATCCACATACACAAGGGTTTGCATCATCCAATATCTTTTTTGTAGATCTTGAGTTGGACATCAACAACTGAGAGAAAGAAGAAGAAGTAGCCATTACAATAGATCGAACATAAACGTCGTTTGTTTTTCTCTTCTCCAAGCTCTAAATCGATACATAAAGGGAAATATTCTAATATGTTTATTCCATGTCATTAAATATAATGTCATGTCATTTAACCTAATGAATTTGGTTGCCTCTAATAAGAATTGAGCAAAAACGTAAGTTTGTTGGGTGTTTTTAAACAGACAAAATATGATTAGGGTTTTTTGAACAATTTCGAAACTTCGTTGGTCTTACAACTCATTTTTCCGATATTTAAGTACACGTCATAAGTCATGTCATTCATTGACTTTCATTAGTCGGTTGACCGTAATAAGAATTGAACAAAAATGTAACTTAGTTGGGTTTTTTTTAAACAAAATGTTAAGTTCGTTGCGTTTCTTGAACAGACAAAACATAATTCGTGTTACCTTGTATATATATATTAATTAAGCGGCTGCATAATCACAAGAGGAAAAGAGTAAATGGGTGGCTATTTTTTGGCAACCAAAAGGTGTAGCGAACGGCCATGTTCAATTCGTGTTACCTTGTATATATATATTATATCCAGCTAAGAATCGTTTGCGTATATTGGAAGTAGAGAGTAGAAAACTTTTTATGTTTCAAATTGAAAGTTTCCCTTAAGAAGTCGTCTATAAACCACATGTTGTTTCTTGCAAAACACCCTTATTTGTACCTTTTTACCTTGTTCTTTTTTCTTTCCCGGTTTTGTTCTCTTTCTATTTTTTGCTGGTTTTTCCATAAAAAGCTACTGTTTATGAGGTTTGCATGATCTATATCATCGAATGATCATAATGGTTTTATTATTGAATTGCCTGTAATTATCTCATTATATGATCAACATGGGAATATATAATGTATAAGTCTATAACTAAATCTAATAATCATACTAATGATGTAGTAGTTACGATTATATGAAGATTCTATATATGGAGCTAGAAATTTGATTTCGACCCTAAAACTTCCAAGTATTCCAATTCGACTCTAAACTGCATATGGGCCAGACACGAAATCAGAATCACCAATCTCTCATTTGAAAGCTAAAAGTCTAGAAGCAATAAGACTCCACAACTCAACAAGTTGATCTATTAATGTTTTCAAAAAAATCACACAACAAGCAGTTCTAATTAAGAAGAATCTGTGAATACATATATAAACTTATCTCTTCAGTTTGATGCTCCAATAAGCATTTTCACACAAGAATATGTGAATACATAAATGATGACAGCATGAAAATATTGATCAGAATGAAATAATGTGTTTGTTAGGCGTAATTGCAGAGTCCATATATACAATAACCACCAGGCATGCACTTGTTACCACACGACCCACAATGCCGCTTGTCATAAGCCAAATTCACGCACTCTCCTCCACAACACGAGCTGGTAAACTTGCACTTGTTCTTGCATGCTCCACAGTTGTGTTTATCGTCGCTCAAATCCATACACTTGTTGTTGCAGCAAGTCGAGTTTTTGCCTTCTAAGATGTAGCAAATCTCGTCATCTTTCTTGCAGTGGTCTGCAGCTCTAGGGTTTTTGTTTTCCGCTAGGAAACGACTTACCCTCTTCGGAAACGGTTTCACGTCCAGTGATTTGGGAAGTGAGGTTTTGTGGTTGTCACCGATAGAGGCGATAGTGATGAGGACGATGGTTATGGCCATGGAAACGACCACCATGAAGAGTACTCTGATGATTTTCGACATTGTTTTGAATTTGATAGAGAAGGGAGAGATCAGATGGTCTTTAATAAGAGACTTGATTCTGCTTTAATGTTCTGTAAAAAACATGGAGCTTTTGGATGTTATATAGGGTGCATCTCCGTGTGTGTATGTGTTGTGGGGGAGGGGGTTGACCCATGGAATCAGGTGCGATCATGCACTGTTTCAAAAAGCTAGCTTAATTCCATGGGGCGGGTGCATGCATGTGTGTGTTGATTAGGGCACAATCTAATCTAGCTAGTCGTCGATGACCTACGCGGTGGTGAAATTTTTGGCTTAAAAGTCAACTTATATTTTCTGCTTTAAGAGACGTCATCATATATAACTTCAACATAAGGTTTTCTTTAATTAACAAAAACATATTTAAACTCATACTTAATTTGGAAGGTTTGTTTAGGAATAATTATATGGCATTGAAAAACAAAAATTAAATAAAACATCGTCATATAAAAAATACAATTAACGTAATGGTGTATTTGGGATGAGAAATCAAATTTTACTTGACATGTTTGATATAAATGAGCCAAATGATTATTTATATGAATAACAAAATCCAGATGTATATAAAATAATTTATAAAATAATAACAAAATATGAATGTTTTACTTTGCTAAGTCCATAATTATGAGAATTTGAATAGATGTTGATTATAATTAAATAGGAGTTGAATGGATTGTGGATGATGACATGAAAAAGAGTTGGTCAATAGTTAAATGAAATTGGAGGTAATTAATGTTATTATGTTTCAATTAAATATCAAACCAAAAAGCAATATAATCACATTTAATTTTATATTATATATTTTTGTATTCGAAATTTTTTAATTCTAATTAAACCATAAGTGAAATTAACCATCTTTTTGGGTATTGTATTATGTTTTTCAATCAATAAATCCAACGAAAGGTTTAAAAATAGACTCATGAAAATGGAAACGTATTAATTACAAATCTGTTACAATGAATTGTGTATGCTAAGGCTATGTTTTATACAATACAAGTAGCTTATTTTTTAAACTTTTTAGGTTGTTATTTTTTGCAAACCAAAAAATAGTTTATGAGTTATCGGATAGTTAAAAAATAAAATAAATAAAGTAGTTTAAACTTTTTAGGTTGTTATTTTTTGCAAACCAAAAAATAGTTTATGAGTTATCGGATAGTTAAAAAATAAAATAAATAAAGTAGTTTATGAGCTATAAGATAGTATTGGAACTAATATTTGATATATGATCAATGATAACGAGACACTATGGATTTAAATAATTTTTCATGCCTAAGTTTTATAAAATTCTGATCTAAGTTTAACTTTTTGAGGATTTAAATCTTTGTTTCAATCTGAACCAGATAGAAAGATGTGTTTGACTTTCTATTAATTTTTTGTCAAAATGTTTTGTATTTGTATTTGTATTTGTTAAAAATCATAAATGACATCCTTATGTTTGATACAACTTTGAAACTGAATTATGTTGTGTTTTTGTCTAATCTTTATAAACAACATATTGAATGTATCTTTTTAGTATAGTCAATTTGAATCTAAAATGAATGGTCACTAAGTTTTTCATTCTAGTTTGATTATTTCCATTGGAAGCTATATTTATACAAACCTGGTTGGATATGAGAAGCTAACGAGGCATATATTTTAAAATTTGCCACAAAAATTAAAGCTGGTAATATCATTAATCTCTTTTTAGGAAGGAAAAAAAAAACAAATACAAGATTTCACAAACTTGGTTGCCTATAAGAGTCTCAGCAGGACACAACATCTAGTATCTCTCCTTTTGGAAAATGTGGGCCACCTATTTGTTTTTTGGTATCATCATCTAAAGACTCCAAATTATGAAAACAAACATTTTGTTGAACCTCAAACTTAACACCAACTGCTTCAGCTTGATGAGCAAACAAGACTTTAGAAACAGGCGATCCACAGATTTGTTTGTAAGCCTCATAAGAAGCAGCACATGTCTGTCCGCCTTCTAGAAGCTGTGAAAGAGGGTGGAAAACGTAAATTGCATCATTCTTCTTCTTCTCTAAACTCGATTTCATTTCCAAAAATTCAGAAACCAATTCGGGGTTGCTAAACTGGACAAACACAGCAGTCTTATCCAAATGGTAGACGGAAGTCAACCCAAAAACTTTACACAAAGTTTCCTTTATTGCCCTTGCCTTGAGTTTCGATGAGAATCCCCATATTAAGGCGATGTTTTGAAACGGAATTTTGGGTTGTTGGATTTTAAAAACTGAAGATTCTGTTGTGGTTTGACCGGTATTTAAGTTGACTATGTCTCCACTGCTCCAGCTGAGGTATAGAAGATTGATGTAGTTCTGAAGCTTGTTTTGTTTGATTAGATTTAAATTTAAATTTAAAGAATGAGAATTGGTGAAATCGATGTCAAGATGTTTGCATGACTGAGCAAAAATGCAGCCTGTCATGAAAGCATCATAACCAGCTTCATGTTTAGCTCCTGAGTTCCAGTTTGATGATCTACATTTATAAAAATAAATATTCAACATATTCTTAAATTAATATAATATACCTACCTACCTGCAAATTTATAATAATATGGCTAAATTACAAAAACGGGTATACGCAAAATTTCAAATTCAGTCCAACATTTGGAATCGTCCTTAACAAAATTAAATTATGATTTATGGTCACTAAGTATAGCTGATTTTTGCAACTTTGATCCTAAAATATTTTCTCCTGCCATTTGCATCATTATTTGAAGTTCTTGTAACATTTGCGGTCCGTGTTCCAAATAAATTGACCATTTTTAGTCCCTTATTATAACTTTTTTTTTTGCTATTTTGGCCACAAAAATTAGTTATTTTACTTGGAACAAGAACCAAAAACTTTACCATAACCTCAAATAAGGACCAAAACTGAACAAATCAACTATACAAAGAACCAAATGTGTAACTTACTCTTATTTTCACTATCATTGCATAACAAATGATAGCTAGAGAGACCAAAATTGAACAATAAGGCCATTTTACAAAGATTAAACATCCAATACTAATGGTGTTAGTTAGAGGGACTAAATCCACAAAGAAATGTGAACTTAAGGACGACATCAGAATGATATATAAGTTGGACTGCACTTGCAATTTTGTGCATACCACAGGGACCATTTCTGTAACTTACTCTTATAATATTAAATTTTAAAGAAAAAAAAAAAAGACATACCGCATATCATCAACTTGAACCTCCACTGCAACAGAAGAGGTATGAGCCAATCCAGAAGCAGAAGCAATATGTGGACAGATGATGGCAAAAGCTTTGGGGAGTGATGTGCTACTTTTCTTCATCTTTAATTGCAAAATATTACTTGCATTCAGAAGAATCTTTGTATCGATTATGTAAGGGAAGTTTTTATGAACTAGGGTTACATATTCTTCAAGATTTGAAGGAAGAGGACCCAAGAACTTTCTACAAACATGTGCAATATCTGTTTCATATGATACAATATATAATATAAATGATGGCAAAGGCAGAAAATAAGTGGCATAGAAATTGAATTCCTACCAAGAAAGCAATTGTGTCCAACAATTAGCTTTTGCTCAGAGGAAAGGAGGTCAATTACATGGCGGAACCCAATCGCAGCTCCAATTTTCATCTCTGATTCCTTACGGAGACTTTCTTTTACCTCTTTCTGCATATCATATATAAACATTTAGAAGATATACTAATTTATTAACTGTTGACTTGATCACTATTATAGTATGTGGTTGGAATATGTGATACGGTTTTTGAATTGTATATTTGAAATAAAAGCAACAAGATTAAGGGGTTGTTTCATTTTGACTTAATGTGCTTGATGGGTTAAGCACTTAATCTGGACAGCAGAGCCATACATGGTTGTTTCTCTTTTACTTAACCTGTATAGAATCATGACTTAATGGGTTAAGCCAAAAACCTTTTACCTATTTGCCGTTTCTTCGTTAAAATTGATGAATAATACAGTGAAATTCTTTTTTTGGAATGTATGCAGTCTAGGAAAGAAACAGATCTTATGTTATACAAAACTTTATCCAGACAGACATCATAACCCATTCAGCCACTGTACCCATATAGAACTTAATGAAGAAAAAAAAATAGCCCATTAAGTCTTAAGATGAATGCTTGAATGTTTACCATAAGCAACTCTAGGTCCCGTCTGGACTCTATGTAGACAACAATTTGTTGAGAACATGAATCACCATTTACACGGATGTAAGCTAAATCCTTGAAGCTCTTTTCTACAATCTGCATTGTATCCCACAAAAATTACAACACTGAATGTCGAAATTATTTGGTGCAAACACACTAACTGATAACAAGTAGAAAACATGACCAAATTACTTTTCAAGACTATATATTAACAAAAAAAAAAAAAAAAAAAAAAAAAAAAAAAAAAACATTACCGACTTAATCAACCTTAGTTGGCGGGAAGTAAATCCATTAAGTTTGATAGCTGGTCGCATCCTAAAGAAGATGGTCTCAAATTGATCAATTGAAGCATTAGAGTCTTTAACAATCCTGCTTGACCCTCCATTTCTAACCTGTAACAGGTCATCATGCCATTCATTGAGTTTGTTTTTCATTCTCTCTACAAAAAGAATATCTGCCATTCTGACAAGTGGGACATCTTTAATTTCTTTAGTTGCACATGGTGACTCTGGTAATTCATCTTCATGTGCTGAATGTAATTGCGATCTAGCTTCATCTTCTAGTGCTCTGGATAAATAAGATATTCCTGAATTTATCCAAAGTTGTAAAAGCTCAAAAAAGAGATGCGGATAAACTTCACAAAGGATTTATAATCTAAGGGATAAGCTACCTTCTTTTACACACAAATTGAAATCAAATTGGTACTTTGCCAAGAAATCAATTGAGGAAGTCTGGCACAGGAACTCATAAGATCTAGCATCACCTCCAACTTCTTGCCTTGGAAATATGTAAAAGTTGTGCCTGTCCGTAGAACACATACAGTTAAGACATATACTACAGCTAGAAAAAGCTTGATCATGGATGGATTCATAAAAAACTGTATATACAGTATTATACAAAAACAAAAGGGGAACTCAAAGGAAGGCAAAGGAAAAGACTAACGGGTGGGCAATGAAGGAGTGCTTGGTTGGATCCCATCGGAAGGTACAAACTCCAAACTGAACAACAGCAAACTTCTCAGCGGAGTCCTTTACCTTGAGATAACGAACATCATATCTGTCAAACTCAAACGACTCCCTCCAAGGAGCGCTCGTGACTCCAGTCATTTCTAAGTCAATTGACACGAAATCAGAGTCTCGTACGTGACGACGAAGATCAGAGAGAGACGAATCGAAGTTGGATTTGGTGACATTTTTTATAGCAAAACTCGAAGAATGGGAAGAGCAAGCCCGAGAGGAAGAAAAGGAAATTGGAAACAGGGTTAGGGTTAGGGTTTTTGAGAGTGCCCTAACCATCCAATGTTGCTTCATAACAATATGCTATTCACCGTATCTGACACTTCTTCATGACCCCAACTCTGAAAGGCTCTGTCAAGCAGCTGAGAACATTAATGTTTGCAAGGTATATGAGATTAAGCGGAGCATGCACAATGAAAAATTAGTGTAAAGAATGTAAAAATATGAGTCTCTATCATTCCGGCGGGAGGATTAAAGAAGAAGCAACAACTGGAACTGGTTTATACATAGAGAAGTGGAGAGAAGTCCATAGGAAAGAAGAGTTACCTGATCGTCGAGAGCCGAGAGTGTGGGGCGTAGCGGGGAAAGAAAACTGTAAGCAGTGCGAGAGCGAGAATGCAGAGAAGCAATTAGTGGTTAGGGTTTTACGTTGCGTTCTCCGAGTTCGAAGAAGAAAGAAGAAAAACGACGACGATGATTTTCTTTCACAAAACTGCAAAAATGGTCCATATAGTTTGTTAAAAATTATGTATAGTGTCCAAAAAAAAAAATTAAGTTGCAAAATCAAAAANNTTCTATAGTTTTATCCTTATTTTAATTTCTTTTACATTTTTAAACATATTTTTAATAATTGATATATATATATATATATATATATATATATATATATATATTAAAGCACAAAGGAGTTAGGAACAGTAAACTTTTTCAATTCATGACTTCACCACACTACTTTGTGGAGATTAACAGTTTTGGTCTCTGCCTCCTCTCCCTTCCACTCACCTGCTTATGTATGTTCTTCATCGCCTTCGTCGCTTGGAAATACCTATCTTTCTTCCTCTTTTTCTGTATTACTCTTCGGGAAAAATAAATCATCCCAATCCTCTTCATCGATGTGGGATCGACTCCATAATCGCATATATCTCTACCGGTGGTGCCCATGGGAAGCCCTAAAATCGATTTCAATTTGTTGCGCCTCTATATGACTATATCGGATTCGTGCTTTCCACCGCCTTCCCATCGTTTTTGCTTCCAATGTCACCACCCCTAAATCGCCTCTCCGCCGCCACTAGTATTTGGCCTTCGAATGTCGATAAATTCGTCGGTTCCGTTTCAGATGAATTTTTTTCCCATACTCTTCTTCAGTTTTGGTTTAGGTTTTATCGATTTTGGGTAAATGACCCTCGCCACACCCTCTAATGAACAGCCACCACCATCACTACTTACATTTTTTCTTTAGCTTTCATCAGTTGTCTTCGGTCGTGGTGTACAAAGGAGGTAATTTCGCTAGTGGGTTCAGAGCTCGAAGTGGCGATGGAAGTTTGATGGTTTTTGTAGATGATATCTCTTATTATGAGGGACAATCAGGTCAATTTGGTCCCGATTGGAACAACCGAAGGGGAACGCTTGGCCTAAAATTGGTTTTTCTCTTTACTTTTCGTTTTTTAGGGCATGTTGTTCCTTTTCTATTCGATTGTTCTTTATATTCATGTGTACGACTGACTTTGTCTCCTAATTAGACATCCAATTCTGGATTTTTTTTTGTTTTCTTTTTCTTGTCTTTATCAAATGAGTTGTTTTTGCAAATAGGTTTGTTGAAGAACTTAGAATCTAATGTTGGGTTGTTTGCTTTTTCAAAAAATATAGTTTTTTTTGCGGTGGGGTTTTGTCATACCCCCGAACCAGACGACGGAAACGTCTGAGGGCTCGCGTGACTTAAATTGAATATCATCACAATGATTATA